ACTTTTTCACACCACTGTATATATATATATATATATATATATAAACATTAACTAAATTTAAAGTGATACAAAATACAATCTAATTAGGATTTAATCAACTGCCTCTGAAATGACTTTGCTTTTAGGTGAGGATCTCAAAAAAATTTACATATTTTGTATTTTTTAATTAATTAATTAATTTATGTTTATTTGCCACTCTCACCCTTCCTCTGTTCAGGCTGGTGGTTGCTGTTGGCTTGGATGGAGGGTGTTGGCTGGTCTTTATTGTACCGAATATCTATACTTTTCAAATTATCATATCGAAGTTAGAAATTCAAATATTGTGACAAAATTAATTTTGTAGGGTGCCACAAGTTTGTTAAAATTTCCAAAGGGTGCCGCGACTAAAAAAAGGTTGGGAAACACTGGTCTAGAGGTTTAGCTTCATAAAATTGTCTAAATAAAGTTGAATTTAAACTCTTAGTGTGAAATTCCTTCCAATTACACAATATGACTAGCCTATATATTGAATATTTGGTCACACTTTATTTTAAGGTCCAATTCTCGCTATTAACAAACCATTAACTAGGACTTTTGCTTCAATAAACTACTAATTTGCTGCTTATTAATAGTTAGTAAGGTAGTTGTGAAGTTTAGGTATTGGGTAGGATTATGGATGTAGAATATGGTCATGCAGAATATGTGCTTTATATGTACTATATGTTAATAAAAGGCATGCTAATAAGCAACTAGTTAATAGTGTTACCGAATATTTAAATTCTACACTACCTTTCAAAAGTAGAAGTCTCTTATGCTCTGCAAGACTATATTTATTTGATCAAATTACAGTAGAAACAGTAATATTGTTGAAATATTAAAGGTCGCATATTGTCAGAACTGAAATTTCCTGGCTTTTTTCACGATAACTGAGGTCTAGGGGCTATTTAACTACCATATAAGTTTCAAAACAGTCAGTCCACAGTAAAATTCACACAGCCTGCATAAAGTAGCTGTGATTTTTCACGAACCGTTGTGACTTCCGTAAAAAGTTGACGTCAGAACTACACAGTCACCGCCTTCAGTCACCACCCCGAGCACCGCCCACAGTCCCACTCTCCTTTTTCCAAACCCCCAGACAACATCGCGTCCATGCCATTGTTGAGCAACGACAACACGGAAACATGTCGAAAAGGTTAACTTTAACCACGAAACCAGATCGGCCGACCTGTAACGTTACACTCTCACTCAAAGGATGGACGTTCTGACAGGATTGTTACTATGAAGTGGATCACATCTAACGTGTACAGTAAAGACAAACTCACCGTGTCCATCTAGTCATGATGAAGATGTATATACATTTCAATTTCAGCAGGCAACTATTTTAACAGCTACATTATTGTTCCAGCCACAATTAATCACAACAATGTATATACAATTACAAATGATTATATATAAATCGTCAGTTTGTTGTTTTACACACATGCACACAGACATTATTTCATACACGACATAGTCGTGAGATGCAAGAAACATATGGCAAGAAATCTGTAGATGCGCCCATAACAACAAAAGACAATACTTTATTGAACCTTTTCTGATAAGAAGTGTGCGCTGCAAATGCAAGCATTTTCGACGATCGTTTCTGTTCAGTCTGCTCGTTTTATCGCGTTTAACCACAGCTGTCGTCGTTTTTTTTGTCTGGCAGTGGCAGCAGATATGCGATCAAATTTCTAATTTGAGGCTGTATTACGTCGATTCTGGCACCCAACATCACAACAAGATGATATTTTAAGCTCCTTATGTAGCCGAATCTGCGCTGGTTTGAATGGGCCGCCTCCAGTTTCCCCTTTGTTTTTATTTAAAATAACTGTTTTCTATTTTAATATATTATGAAATCTCTCTTTTAAACCAGTGTAATTATCTTCCACCAATCAGTTCCTCCTAACTGTCAAAAAATCAATTCAAAATGTGACGCAATGATTTGTTCACTAAAAAACTGATCATGTGGGTCCCCTAATGGCATTTGACGCACTTTAAAATGTTTTAGTAAAGCTTATGTAAATATGTATCTAAATGTATGTAATATATGTACATTTTGCTGTTTATTACCATGTACTGTTATACTATAACATGAAATAAAGAGGTTAAATATCATGCTTCCTATTGATTATTTTAGTAAATATTCAACTGAATTATTATTATTTTTAAATTGATTTTTTATGTTATTTTACTTAACACATTTTGAATCCACTTGCCAACAATGGCTGTTTGAGAGTGAATACTTATCAAAATGCTGGAACTTGTTAATTTAAATTCATTTTTAACCTATATTTCCCAGTCCTACTCAGTGTTATTTTAGCATTATTTATATACTATTATAGTATTTTTTTATATTTTGAATTATCTATTATTTTTATTTTTAACATTAAGTTTTAGTAATGTATGTGATTTTGCCATTTTTATTCGTTTTTGTTTGTTTAAATATTTCAATTTAACTTTATTTCACTTCAGTGTATTTTATTTTAATTAAGCTTTATTTGAATTGCCAAATTATTTTTAGTAGTTTTAGTCTTAGTTTAAGAATAACAACACTGGTCATACTGTGAGCTAATTAGTAGGTCATTCTGCTATTATGCTACGCTAACAACAAACTTGCAGGGCGATTTGTGCTCACAAGACGTGCATACATCATAATGCATCATAATGTAGAAGCAAGCATACATCATAATACTGAATCCTGTCAACAAATTCACATTATTTACACATAAGGACAAGTGCCTTGAAAATTACTAATGAACTGAATCTATAAACAGAGCATGCACAGAGGTCATAAGGTTGCCTTCAGTGTATACAATAAATATGCTTACACAACATTCATGGGAATGCATGCAGGAATGTGTTTTAGAGTTTGTGTACATTATCACAGCACTGCAAAAGCAAAGCAGAAGCAATGCATACATGCGTATGAAAAGAGAAAAGTAATTTGAATAAGAAGAAAGTCATTAAAGTGCTATTGCATTATTGATAAAAGTCAAGTAGGATGAGAGAAAGTGAAATGTTACATAATGAGAGCGTAGCGCCGTGCCCCAGCAGTAGCATGTTACCTGTGCGTGTAAGTAAGATAGCTGCTGTGACTCTTGGCTCACCTGACTGTGCTCTCCAGGGAGACCGTCGATTCACCGATGGCCGAGCGGTACAGTGTGCCGTCCTCCATGTATGTGTTATTACAGTTCAATGTACGCTAAGGACAGAGAAAAAGCACAGTACTGTAAATCAAGCAAAATAATACATTTCCAAATGCTAGACCACTTCACAGCGAACTTCATCCTTTGATACCAAATTACGTGAAATTACCTTCTTATTGCTTGCAAATTACTTAAATGATTTCCTTATTAATTTTCTACAAGATAAACTGACATTTAAACCGATCCTAACCAGTTTCCAGACCTGTGATGGACAGTTATTGTATAAATATTTAATAATGTAAAGGTGTTACAGTAACTTACCGTCAGTAGGGTGGTGCGTGTGGCACTGGAGTCATCAGGTAATGGTTTCTTCCCTGTGAATACGTTTTTCAGATTTTTCCTCACCTCTTTACTGAACACGATGTGGAAGAAAAAAATTAATATGCCCTGAAAAACAAACAGGAAATGGTCATTTTAGTATTATTTACATAGTATTATAGTACTTATTAATATTAAAGGAATAGTTTACCAAACAGTTGCTGGTAGCCATTGGCTTCCATAGTATGGAAGTCAATGGCTACCGGCAAATGTTTGGTTACCAACAATCTTCCAAAAATCTTCTTTTGTGGTCAGTAGAAGAAAGAAACTCATGCAGGTTTGGAACAACTTGAGAGAGTAAATGATGACAGAATTTTCATTTTTGGGTAAACTATCCCTTTAATACATTTTGTTTTCAATTGTAGTGACATTTTTGTTATGTGCTTTTTGTTATGTCTTTTTTTGTAATTTCTGCTTATTTTTATTTCAGTTTTAGTTTTTGTAATTTTATTATTTCAACTTAAACTTTTAATTTTAATAAGTTGCTAAGGCAATATTTTTAATTTACAAGTTTTCTAAGTTTACGTTTTTCATCTAATATTTATATTTTATTTTATTTCAGCTTAGTTTCAATTACAGAACACCTGTTGATGTATTAAGCATCCTGCATCTGCACTGCAGTCTGCAAGATTTCCGTACACAAGAACACACACGGAGGTTGTTTTGTGCTTTTGCATGTATCAAGGCTTACTCTTGAGCAATAGTTATAGTGATGCTTGCCTTATTTGTCTGTTTTGGAAAAACTGAGGTCAAGAATAGAACAACTGTTACCTGCAGACAGCTGAAGATGGCAAACAGGTAGTGGAAGGTCATGACATCATTGTTAACAGCCATTAAACCCAGCAGCCAGGTGGCACTAATGAGCAACAGTAGCAGAAAGGCCATTCGCAGAGCAGGACTGGAACACATGCAAAAAACCACAATGAGTACCAGATTTCATGAATCAATCCTCAGAAAATGCTCTCAAGGGACAGAATGTCTTACATGACTCCAGACTTCTCATAGGAACGTTGCCTACGGCCACACGACGCCTTCGCCGCCAGCACAAAGATAATAATGTTGACCTGTTAAAGAGTTTGTTTTTGCCATTTGATCAGCTGAGTATGGAGAATGGAATGAGAACAGTTAGAATGAAGAACAAATGATAAGTAGATGGATTTACCAGCACCACTACAGCGATGGGTCCCGCAAAACTCCAGATGAGGGTGTCATGGACGGACAGCCAGCAGAAGTCAGGGTTCCCATATCCCTGAGGATCCAAACCCACAGCCAAACCTGATGGACACAAACATCAACATGACTTTTACATCATCTTCAGAAAACATGCTGTTGTAGGTGGTTGCAAGAGCATTGTTATATACAGTACTGGTCCGGTTGTTCAGAGTAATTATTAGGGTGTTGCTTAGTGGTTGCCAATGTGATCAGAGTGTTTTTAACTTGTTGCTATGCTGTTGAGGTTGTTTGGAGTTGTTTTTAACACTGCTACTGCGTTGCTACTGTAGCTGGTTGCTAAGGTGTTCTGACCAAGTCTGCTGTACAACTCCTGAAAAATTAAGCCAAAATGTTTCGATCGCCCCCAGGTGGCTGGACCCAGTATAGGTCATAAACCCCGTCCTCTCCATGTAATCTAATGGGATGTGAGACAAACTAAATAATTAAATTGCACTTCAAATAATTTTTTTCCAAAGATGGTTGCCATTTTATGTAGTTTTTAAATCAGACT